TCAATCAGGGACAGGGGTGCCGGGGGCGGGGGGCTCTTGCGAGCCTCCTCCTGTTTCTTCTCCCAGTAGTTGCGGTTCAGGTAGCGAGCCAGCTGCAGAAGGAGGAGGGGGATGAGCACCACAGCCCCACAGGGAGCGAGCCTGTGTGTGGACTAAGGTCTGGATCCTTACCTCCGGGTCGATGTCCTCAGCCAAGGGAGCAGAGGAATTCTGGAAAAAAACAGACAGGGAAATCCAGCTCAGAGACACCAGAGACCCAGAGCTCACACACAGTGTCCTGCTAAGGCCTGGCCACACCCAGCCACCAGCACTGAGCAGCAGCCAGAGCAGACAGGGACAGCTGTCCCCTTCAGCCAGAGACACTGCAGCAGAGGCACCCAAATGCAGACTGAAAGCACGTAGTGCCGTGAGAGAGCAAGGCACTGAACAGGGCAAATCTTTCCTCTTGACACAGGGATTGAGCGTGACCCAAGCAGGGCAGGCTTGGGCTGGGGAGGTGCTCTGTGTCCAGGCACTTGGCATACCACGGGTGGCGAGTAGAGCGTGCTGGCCGGGGGAGCCGATGACGTGACGGGCGTTGGCTCAGCCTTTGGGTACATGGAGTAGGTTGTTTTCTGCCTCTGCAAAAGAGGGAAAACAGTCAACTTGGGGTCTATCCAGACTCCTCCAAATCACCCAGTCAGCGAAAGACTGGGCACACTGGGTGGGCGAGGCTCCCAGTGGCAGCCAGCAGGCCCAGCCAAAGGACCAGTGCCCACAGGCCAGTGCACCCCAGGGCTTGCAGCCCGGGCACAGCCAGCTTCCACCACTTGGGACTGGCACACCATACATGCCTGGCCCCACTTCCACCCTCACTCCACAGGCCTGCGACTCTCTTGTGCCAGGACACGCCTAGAGCTGTCTGCACCCAGCTGGGAGATGCCCAGCACACCCAAGCTGCATGGCAATGCCCCTCCTGGGCACCAAGCAGGACACGAACCATTCTCTCCTTCTCCTCGGCCTCCGACTGAGACAAGGCAATAGCCAGCTGGAGCTCTTCCTCCTCTTGCAGAGCTGTCTCGTCACGCTTTGGAGGCAGCTGCAGGCAGAAGACGAGGTGGTCAGTGATGGGATCCACGAGCAGGTCAGGATCACCACATCACCTACGGGGCAGCTGCTCACCTGAGACTGCTGTGAGAGGGGGCTGGTCAGGTACTCAGGGGGCAGTTCAGAGGTGGCAGCAGCTTTCCCCTCAGCTTTCCTGCAGTCAGAAAGGGGTGATGGTGCAGACTGAACACCCCCTCTGGGCCCTGCAGCCCCTGCACCGTCCCACAGCTGTGAGCCCTGTGCCCAGGAGGAGGGGAGCCCAGCCCAGCCCGTGCAGCCAGGGCACCCTCACTCTGCTCGGCAGCAGCACGGCTCCACAAGCTCCCCCCTCAGGGTCCCAGCAGTTACAGGCAAAGAAACACACCACAAAGGGTACTACTGACTTGTTGAGGTGCTCATAACAGGGCTCGCAGACTCTCACTTCCTTCTCAATCCCAAACTTGGGGATGGTGGAGTACTTGGAGGAACATTTGCCACAGAAGATCTGCCCACAGGCCCTGCAGTGATGCTGCGGAGGATGGGAGACGTCAGTGCAACAGCAGGAAGCCCCTTCACCACGAGGCACCCCCCAGCCCCTGCAGCACATCCCGGCTGGCAGCCAGAGACCACAGCCCAGCCTGGCACCCCCACGGGCTCCAGGAGTGCCAGTGCTGGGGGCTGAGCAGGACAGGGCACCCAGAGGGGTGGGGGCAGCACCCACCTTCCTCGTCACGACGCCGAACTGCACCCGACACCTGTGGCACTCCTCAGCATCGACCCAGTCTGGGGCCTGTCAGGTGGAGGAAAATCTCATCAGGAGGGCAGAAGGGCCTCAGTGAGCATCTCCACCGAGCCCTTCAGGAGCTCCCACAGCTGAGCAAGGTGCTGTTGTGAACAGGGCAGACTGGGAGCATTGACCACTCCGCAGGAAACATTTATCCCCACAAGTTATCTCCTCTCATGCTCCCGCAGACCGTGATGCTTTCCCAGTCAGCAGGATATTTTCTAGGAACATGTTTGCACAGCAGTCACTTTAGCAATGCACTGCTGCCACGTTCAGACTGCTGTGCTGCTGGAAGGGGGTAGAACCACGGAAGCAGGCTGGTTTGGGTGGGAAGGGACCTTTAAAGGTCATCTCATCCGACCCCCTGCAGGGAGCAGGGACAGCCCCAACCAGAGCAGGGTGCCCAGAGCCCCGGCCAACCTCACCTGGAATGGTTCCAGGGATGGGGCAGCGACCACCCCTCTGGACAACGTGGGTCAGGGTCTCACCACCCTCAAAATGTCAGCCTCAGTGTCAAAAATGTCATTGTTCTACCCAATCTAAATCTCTCTCTTTTAGTTTAAAAGCAACACTCCTTGTCCTGTCACAAAAGGCCCTGCAAAAAGGTCTGTCCCCAGCTTTCTGACATTCCCTTTGAAGTACTGAAAGGCCACAAGAAGGTCTCCAGGAGCCTTCTCTTCTTCAGGCCCACCCTCAAAATGTCAGCCTCAGTGTCAAAAATGTCATTGTTCTACCCAATCTAAATCTCTCTCTTTTAGTTTAAAAGCAACACTCCTTGTCCTGTCACAAAAGGCCCTGCAAAAAGGTCTGTCCCCAGCTTTCTGACATTCCCTTTGAAGTACTGAAAGGCCACAAGAAGGTCTCCAGGAGCCTTCTCTTCTTCAGGCTGAACAGCCTTGACACTTTTATCTGAGTGCTGTGAGACCAGGCTGATTTTTGTGGCCTCCTCTGGACACACTCCATGTTTCTGTCGTGCAGTAAAGCAAGACTAACTCCTGTCCCAGCCAGTTCTCCCTTCTGTCTTTAGGGTAAACCCCTGTACAGCACCCCAGAGCTGCCCACATGATGGGGGGGAGGAAGCTGTATGTGCCCAGCAAGGTCTCCAGCCTGCATGGCATGGAGGAAGAGCAGAGCTGAAGGGTTAGCAGGAAGGGGTCAGGGGAGCAGGGCCTGTCCTGCAGTGCCAGCTCCCGCCCCCCCCCAAACAAGACTATCTCCTGCCCCAGCCAGTTCTCCCTTCTGTCTTTAGGGTAAACCCCTGTACAGCACCCCAGAGCTGCCCACATGATGGGGGGGGAGCTGTATGTACCCAGCAAGGTCTCCAGCCTGCATGGCATGGAGGAAGAGCAGAGCTGAAGGTTTAGCAGGAAGGGGTCAGGGGAGCAGGGCCTGTCCTGCAGTGCCAGCTCCCTCCCCCCCCAGCACTCACCCTCTCTGCAGCGAACATGGCATCGCTCTCCTTGAACTCCGGGAACACGTGGCCTGTGGGAGAAGCAACAGCACCCCGCTGGGAGAGGCTCCTCTGACACAGGGGCCCAGCTCAGCACGCCTGCCCTGGCCAGCACCCCCCTGACACACCAGCAGCATTCTCCCTCCCACGGGAGGCCAGGGGTCAGCCCACACACAGCTCTCGGCCACGCTCCAGCGTGCGGCACAACCCCACGGGATTCCCCTGCACACCCACAGCACAGCAGGCCCCTGCACCAGGCACATTTCTCACCATCTTGAACTTGGCACAGGGAGCAAAAAGCCACCGTGTGGGCAGGCAGGGCTTGGGCCATACCCCTGGGGTGGCAGGAGCGTGGCAAGCTGCTGTCTTTGCCACAGCCTGTGGAGGCTGTGGTGCACACAAGGAGGCAGAGGCAGCAGCGTGTCCCTTCCCTCACAGGGATGCTGCCATCCCTGGGACAAGAAAGTGCTACATGGACACAGAAAGCAGAGCGTGGACCTGTCCTGGAAGGACTAACAGGACCCTGGGGGAAGGAACCACACCGGTGTAAACACCTTCCCAAAGGCCCTGCAGGTCTGCTGCCAGTCTCCTGCAGGACTTTAGTGACTCCTGTGGTTCACTCACTGCCACGCCGAACCCTGGGGGAAGGAACCACGCCGGTGTAAACGCCTTCCCAAAGGCCCTGCAGGTTTGCTGCCAGTCTCCTGCAGGACTTTGGTGGCTCCTGTGGTTCACTCACTGCCACGCTCTGGCTGGGCTGGAGGCCCAGGGCAAGGCAGCCCCTGAGCCTGGCACAAGGGCTGTTCCCTCTCTGCAGCAGGATTCAGTTACTCCAAGAGGTTCAGGGGTATTGGGCACCAGGGAGAAGCTCAGTATCCTAAGTCCAAATTTGACAAACACCAGGCAGGGTCCTGACACCCATTCCTTCTCCCTCCAGAGCAGAGCTGCTCAGCCAGCTGTCCAGCCACATCCACCCAGAGTCCTCACCTTCAACCTTCATGATCTGGTAGGTGTCCTGCACCACCTTGTACTTGGGCTCGTTGCGGAAGGCGTGAGCCCAGGCCTGGATGAGGTACAGGATCTTACTGCGCACACTCGTCTCCACTTGCCTCTGCACAGAAAGCAAACACTCTGAGACAGAGACCCTGGAACCCAAAGGGTGGTG